GTGAGGGCTGAGGCATGCAGAATAGAAGATTCTATCAGGGGTAATGAGAAGAGCATCAGATTGGGTTTTATGAAAGCAAAGGATGAAAAGATAGCTGAGGGCATCAAAGAGTTGAAAGTAAGTGACAAAGTTCACTGAGTTGAAAGTGGATGACAAAGTTCACTCACCACCAAAACTGCACCACACAAACACGCACACACACACGCACGCATACACATACATACACAAACAAACACACACGCACACACAACCTTTCGACAGTATGCGTTTTCGCATTTGTACAATATGCAGATGCACATAATATAAATGGCGGCGTGCACCAGAGCAGCCGGCGCGATCATGCGTTTTGTGCAATCCCGTCCTCGAACAATTGACTGCCAATGATTTTCACTGCTTTGCACCTTGGTCTGTGCAAAAATAGTTCAAATGTTGTCAGGTTCTTAAGTTGCGGAATTCCCCACTAAAATTTTCACGTACACGAGATAATTTTTCTATAAAAGTTCCACGGGGCCTTAGTTGGTACTCAAGGTTGCGTGAAGGCTAAATTCAAATTTGCGAGTTAGTATCTTGGTAGAGGACATCACTCAAAAATTTCAGATTCCCAATTTCCGCTGCTTGCGAGATAGTTTTCCCAGCCGAAACTTTCACCGGGTCGTAAGTGATACTCGGACTCGCGGGAAGGCTGAACTTAAAATTGCGGGATTGTTTGTGGGTAGAAGAGAATATCGTAAAATTTCAACTTCCTAGATTTTGTGGCTCTTGAGATAATAATTTACACGCCAAAAGTTTCACGAGGCCGTATATGTTACCTGGGGATACGGGGAGGCTGAACTTAAATTTGCGAGGTCACTCGTGGGTAGGGGCATTCCCTTAAATCTTCAGATTTCTAGCTTTTGGTTCCCGAGTTGAAAGTTGCGGACAAGTTACTGCGGGCACACACACAAACATATACACACAAACACACAGGCAATCCCGTGACAATATGCGTTTTGTGCAGCTGTTACACAGCACAAAACTCAAAACCAAACCCCTGGCTTGGTTGTCCCCTTGTTGAGAAGCCAATTCGCGATTTTGTGTATTCTCCTCCTGCTTTAGTTGCAATAATGCAAGCTCAGCTTCCAGACCCTGCGGCGATTCTTCCTCATCACTTCCTTTGTACTCGGCAGTCGATTTTACTGCTGCACTAGCATCTATATCTTCTTGTGCTGGTAATGGTTCATTCACTTCTGCACCTCAAAATCGAAAATTTAGCCACCCGTATTTACGCATTTACACAAAGACAAATACTGTTCTGCTGTGGTGCTGATACTGATCCGTAGCACGTGACATCACCTTCCGCACTTTCTTAGTGAAACTACTTGTCCCGTGGTTAGGGGTTCGTCTGAGTGAGTGAAATATGTTGGCGTGCCTGCCTTTTTTTTGGAACTAATACTTCTCAAATTGAAAAACAAGCTCATTCGTTTCTCAAATTGAAAATCTAGAAAGATCTACTTGGAAAAAGGAAATTTCTTCTCATGTTTTAATATCTCGTTTCTGAATTAAGCTCTTAAAGTACTTTAGCTCGAGCGGCAACATAAGTCACAAAAATCCCCAACATGTTAAACCCAACTGGCGCCAAGAATAAATTACAAGAAGGCTGATTTTTATAGTAACAACATTTTATATTTTTAAAATTGGGGATGACGCGCTGTATGATCGAGTTTCACGCGTCTCGTTTTTTAAGTGATTTTCTAGGCTACCTGCGGAGAGCAAAATGCATGGACCCTTACAGGAACGTATTCACAGAAGAATGTTTAGACACAAGCAAATAGCCTTACACTCACTTCAGATTTTAACCCAAAAAGAAAATAGAATTCAAAAGCAGGATGTTGAGTGGCCCGGTAGCTTAAGTGAAAGAAATGGGCGGCCCTAGAACGAAAGTGGCTGTCGAGACGCGCAATTTGTTATACAGAACGGTAAAATTTCAATGCACTTGAAATTTTATGCAGCATTACCGGATGGTGTACCACCCACGTCAACAGATCAGATCCAAAAGTTTGCCGAATAAGTCCCGAAAAACGACATGCAGAAAAAGCTCAGTTCTAACCGTCGACGGTATCTTCATCTTGTGTGACTGGCGCCTTATCACTCGTACTTCCCAGTGTTGATGTCTCAAGAATAGCAGTACCATCATCAACAGATCCGGTAGTCTCTTGCGCAGCCGCTGATTCAGCTTGACCTCGAAAGAGTACGTTATTCCATGCTGCGGATTTTTAAACCGGTTCGTTAGATTCAAAACTTTGAGATGGACTACATCCTCAGTTTATAAAGTTGCGACAAAAAACGCGAGATCCCGAAACAATTTCACTCATGTAAAGTGCTGACCATTTCAAAGTAATCGCAATAGTCGCCAAGGAAATTTTTTGTCTGCGATTCCTTCACTTACTGAGATGCATGTGTACGACTACAATCTCTCCACTTCAGGCTGCGTTGTCCACGGTCATTTGGCATTGATTCTCTCCGTTTAGTACTCAGTCAGTTTTGTTGAACGAAGAATCATTGACGGGAGCGCGCGAAGATGAGCCGAAAAGCAAACGAACAGGCGCGCGAGGAAATATTTAAGAAGCCGACCATTCCCTACCTCACGCTTATGATCCATTGTTTTATGTATTTTATGTACAGATTTCCTGCTTGTAACTGTGCGCTCTAGCTGCCTACACAAGCCGTTTGCTTTGTGTTGTAAATTTTAGTGTTGTGCTGTATTCGTCTTGAGCCGTAATCTTGCCGTCTGGATGTCGCTGCGCGTCAACATCTGCTGCTGTAAATGGTTTTAAAATAAAGTTTTTGGCTACGTTGCCGATTACTGTGTTGGCAGAAATCAGCCAATCGACACCCAATAGTTTTTCAACGTCGGATCCTCGTTGCCGGCCGAATCTCATCGTCCGGAATTCGTTGCAGAGTCGACTCGGGCATGGTATAGAGCAAGTCCCAAAGCACATACACTGCGAGGACTTTACAGTTATTTCGAAGCCTCACGCAGGTCATTAGCGGATACACTCAATCGCAGGTGTCATTCGCCGATGCACAGCAATGGTAGCAGTAGTAATAAACTTGGGAATTCACCGCATTAATGGATAAAAACAAGCCTTACTATCATCAGTAGTAGTGCTATCAACATGAAGAATATCATCGCTGGGAATAGATTCCGATGATAAGTCCACATTCTTCGATTGCTCTTCTGCTGATACCAACGCTTCGGATGATGACGCTGAGAAGGTGTGGGATGAAGCATTGTCCGATACTGTCAGTGTCGACGGAAGCGTCGCCGGTATAGTGTTTCCTGTAAACGATGCATAGCCTGTAAATTATCGGGTCGCAATTTCGTCTTGAAATCCTGATGGACATCAAATCGAACATTAGAAAGCAATACTAATACGTTCAGTAGGAGAAATGCTTTTGCCCCTCCTTTTCATAAGCAATTGCTGAATCCTTCATTCCCAATAAGTTTAGCTTGAAAGAATTTTTTCATAACTGAGAATTTTTGGTGAGACAACTTATCGTGGTTTTTAAAGAGAGGGAAGTAGTAACTTAAGATTTTTCACAAATGCTTGTGCCCAGCTGCTTGCTTTGTTTCTTCTTTTTAAAAGACAAAATAAGTGTCATTTCACCAGCAGGTAAATAATCAAGCAGTGCAACACTGTTCAAAGCAACTGGAAAATTTGGCAACTGCACTGATGAAGAAAAAGGCTGTGAATTGGCAGCGGTTTAATATGCTGTAGGCAGTAAAAAACCTAAATAATTTTTTAGCGG